AAAAAAGCTCGTGAGTAGCATTCTACCTTAAAATGCTTGGACAATAATGCTAAGATACGTACAGTCTTGTCTTTTTTGTGTACAACATTTTGCCGTAATGGATCAAGGGTGTGGGTGTGTTTGTCTGTGGGTGGGGAATGGCCTATGACCCCTTCTCTAAAATGGTAAAATAGTTCAAAAATGTTATGTAGAATAACTTACCAACGTAACACAAAGTAAACCAATTGAATTTAAAACCGAGAATATAAAAATGTATGTAACAGAGCTCAAACAATTTTTGAATATTATAAAATTCACACGTTTCACATCAAATATATCGTTTATTGTTGTTTTCGAACCCCCTATTCAAAAGTGCTGGCTACGGGCCTGTAACCCTGGAGCTAAACATATGAACATATTTATTTTTCAATGTTATTTACTACTGTATGTTAGTATAATTTTTGTAGACATTTTATTGCTACATAAAGTACATTATTATATGAACGTTGCCAGTCTTAATTCCTCCTTTATACTAGTTTTATCAACACTATATGTTCAGAACTTGGCAGTTCTATAGAGCTACACTAGTTGTTATCAGTTTCTTAGAAAGGTATAGCGAATTTTGTCGAGAAATAGTCTTCTTCATCCTTGAGAAACAGAAACAAAAATTCAACACTGAAAAAATGTGTTAAAATATTTGCATAACTGAAAGATCTGCACGCGCGAAATTTTGGATCCGACAGTGAGATATGAAATCGCACATTTAGTCATTACGTGCTCAAAACCGGATATGTATTAATTATTGCAGAAATATCTTCACACCAACAACACGAATGCGGGAATTCCGTGTCAAGCACCATAGCATATACTATTCGATGAAAAAATCGTAAAAAATAAATATAAATTACGTAAACGAGGGGTGAAGGCGAAATGTCTGTAACCGCGAAATCAATGACAATTACAATGACAATTTGTTTATTTCCTTGAATATTTTCTTAAATACACACTATAAATATGCAAGGAAAGGGGAAATACTTGAAGCAAAGCTTGTAAAATATATTTCCCCCTTTAAAATTAATTTGTAACTTACTCCTTTGCTAGCAGATTTGACAGATTTTTACTTATGCAAATTAAAAATAAATTTAATACAACAAAAGATATACATATCTCTAAGTTTAATTTTGCAAAATATCTAAATCGGCTAAAACAGTGGCATGTAATTTATACTACACTATCAATATAGTTATTCAATAATTCACGTTTACATACCTTTCTAAATAGACAGCAATTGAAACAATTTTTAAGGTTACTAGGAATACCATTCCACAATTTTACACCACTATGAGTCAAACACATAGATTTTAAAGTTGTTCTTTTATAATTGATTTTAAAAAGACAGACTTGCAATCAGTTTAAGCGCCCTCACATTACCGGCCAGATTCGGGTTGTAAATTTGATATATACTAGTACATGTACGTCATACGGTGTATGCAATCATTTGATTAAAAGCCCAAAAGTTGAAACAAGCAATCTTATTGCGTGGTCAAAAATGAAGGATGGTATGTAAATCTTTGAACAATAACAATATCTACGTTGCCGCTCGAAGTTATGTTAACTGTTAATTAAAGTTTGAGTTACAAAATTTGAAAGGTAAACAAAACAAAACAAAACAAAACAAAACAAATATATGTTGCCCATAACTCGAAGTTCTGTTAACTATTAATTGAACACCGAGTTACAATTTGGGCGTGATTTCACAAAAGTGGGCGTGGTCATTTTTGTAACTCGATGTCCGTAGCTTGAACAATTCAGTATCTACGCCCGATCACCAAATAAAAGCTTACCTATTTATAACAACTTGGCTGGATTGGCTGCTGTTTAGCCTCTCAACACAACACCAGCGTAATTTCACGATTGTCACATTTAAAGCTCGCTGCCACCAAAATGCTCATTACTATGCTGATAGTTACCTCACTGAGTTAAGTGATTTAAACGATGACAATTATTTTAATTAATACTGTATATTTTAATATGTTTTAATTAATCTACGATCATAATTGTATTCATTTCACTTCCAAAATGTAAGGGGTTCGACTGACCCCCCCCCGCTAACTATGGGCCTACAGTTTTAGCGACCCGAAGAGCTCATTGTACGTTTGTATTATTATAACGAATAAATCTTAAAACTTGTAGAGCTGAATGCATGTATATGAACACAAATATACAAGTTGAAGGAGTTCAAGAACAGTGATTGAATTCTATTGAGTTTTATCATGGATGCCTGTTTACTTTTATGGTTGTTTTGATAAACTTAATTTCAACAGCTTCAGCCTGAAATGGAATTTTACAAACATATCCGACGCCATCCTGCCGTGTGCGCAGCTATATGCTACAATGCGTTCCAGTTCGCATTACAAGTAGAACACTGAAACAAGCTGCATACGAACTGCACACTGCTTGAGTTTTATTTACAAGGTACAACAAAAATAGGAATAAATACAAAATCACTAAAATACTAAATAATGTAATAATGAAAAATAGGTAAAATTCGTCATAACAGAAAAAAATAAGAGTAAAAGTTGATATTACTGACAGCAGGTCAGATGTCAAGTAAGACCCTGCTTCCTGACTTAAAAGTTTTTACTTATGAACTGTGCTACTGGTATAATAATGTTTTCATTATGTAACAATTCAATGAATTGAGTATGTCTAGCACGAGTATAGGTTTATGTCAACACGATTCTCTTTCAACAAATACACTGTACATAATATGTCGATATACATTGTACTGTCAAAATACACACAATGCGTAACAAAATCAAACAAACCGGTGCCGTCACAAGGCAAAATCCACAACTCTCAATTTTTTGGGTAGACTGGGTTGATTGGCTGTCATGGTCATGAGGTATAATAAAACATTATATTACCTCCATCTGTGATAACATACATGAAAGGAGTCGTCTATACGTCTCTGTCTATGCATGAAGCTAATATTTTTAGCTCTATGGTCTATGCACCATCTATTTATATACACAGTCACATATGGAAGATTCATACCATATGTGAATTATAATGAATAGGAATATGAGTAATTTTATATATAGAGGGTAAATGTGCTGAAAAAAAGACACAACCATAATATACTGAATACAAATATTATTATAGTTAAAATATTAATTTAAATATTCTTAGAATTCCTGCACCAAGCTCCAAAGGGTGATTCATAACCTTGTGTCATTGGAAATCTGATAAACAGCGCCACCACCAACAGGTTATTCATGGTCAAAAGAAAATGGCGAATGCCATAACGTACTTCCTGGTTGTTATGTTGCCCACTGTGTCTAAAATAGATCGATTGGATTGACGATTAATTCACCGTGTATGTATTGATGCATAGTCACAGTTTGTGTTGATCTGTACTGAAAGCAGTGTGTGTGCGTGTGTGATGTTTTGGGAAGACTACACTGAACGTTACGGCAGTGTAAACATGGACTCCAATGCACTTATCCAAGACGCTGTAAAGTTTGCTACACAGGCAACTCAGCGCGATCACAACAGAGATTATAAAACAGCAATATTTTATTACACGGTGAGTACGACATTCCTTGTTGTAGACATAACACTTTCCTGAAGGATGTTGAGTTTCTCAACAAATCGGTCTATTCCCCGGAAGAGACGTACTATTATATTGACCGAACAAGGCTACAATAAAATTGTCACACAAGATCGTGACACGTCGCGATGGGAGTCTTTCGTGGTCAGTAATATTTACGAAAATGTTTGTTCACTATTTTATAAACTGGCTCGGCACTTCTCATCGCCAATTAGAAATTTCACAGCATTTCGGTTATTTTTTCAACAAATCCCAAATCTTTCTCGATAATTTTGTTTGCTGTGACATTTGTACTATGATTACATTTGAAGTTTTGATAATTTTAATATTTTAACACATGGAGGTAAAAAGTCTCTTTTTACCTCCATGGTTAACATATATATACACTCACAAAAATACCCAAAAAATAGTATATAGTCCTAACAAAAAAACATTATTTTTTCGATCTATGTAACATCTTGTGGAAATCTAGCTGCGGATCCGTAGCTCTATCTTGCGACTGATCGACAACTGTTTTACCTTTTTCTTTATTACTTGGACGTCTTCTTTTCAAATTTTGTATTGTAAGTCGAATAGCCAGCCAGATACCGACGACCTAAAACAGCCCTCAGGGGGCTATTGAATTCCACAGCTAGTGGAAATCTTAATGAGATTTAAAGTTCAGTTCACAACTGATGGTTTTGCAATAATAGGGGTTGTCAACTTGTCCATGGAGGCTGCAAGATTTTTTTCATAAATAAGTATTCACTAATATTTATTTTGTATTTACATTTGCCATGAGTTCCACAGTATCTTTTTTTATTGATGTGACTGTGTAGTGTACTCGGGCAGTTTTTGTTTTGTTTTGTCGATTGTTGTCAATTGTTTGTTTTGTGTTTTGGGAATTTTGTACTTTGCAGTATATCGTAGACAATACTGGTATACTTTGTTCTCCAGCATAAATATCGGATTGTTCGAAAGTATGAGATTGTAATGTAAATTTTGTTCATTAATGTTGTACGATGACGCTATCTCCGGGGCCTTCAGAGTTTCTTTTTGAATATGTCCCAGGCCATTTACTTACTTAGTGTCAGTGTCTGACTGGTATATACAAAATGCGACCAAGTAAAGTTGCCAGTTGCCCCTGCCAAGAGAGTGGTAGAACCAAAACAATCTGTCAGCCGTCGCCGTCCACAGCAGCGATATGATTTTACATGACGAAATTGAGAATCGCGAGTGTAGACATATTGCACAGAAATGAACACTAAATACATCTATCCCGGCCAGCAATCGAATCATCAAACTTCATGAGTGGCGTAACTGACATTTCCATCTATTTGCTTCTATTCCCACTATCCTAAAACGCTCAAGTGAATGTTGTCAAATTCGCGAGTGTGCGTATTTTCGTATAATGGCGTAAACATTGCCACAATCAAAGACGCACTGCACTGAACAGGATGTCCATTCTGGGCTAGTACGATTGTAAATTTTTGGAGAGTAGGGAACTTTTTATACAGGGGACGCCCCGGGTAGGAAATTGTTGAAATTGTCTGATTGACATATCAAAATCCTGTATTGAAACAGAACATATTCTGTATTCACTCAAAACAACCTTGTTATGTTTCGACTCACAACGAACTTGAAACAAAAGAAACAGTCCGATCCTGGTGTTTCCGAGCAAAAATATGTTGATGCCAAAAATGATCGATTTTCCCCAAATTCTTCTATGATTTTTTAATAATACCATTACCTGGTAATTCAGTTTGGCAGTTAGATATGTTATTTATTAGAGAATCTCTGGGAACCAAAATTGGCGATGTAAATCACTCCAGCGAGGAAAAATCAGTGATAATAGCCAGTGGAGTGAGAGACTGAATTTCAGAAACATATTTTATATATAGGGTATATAATTACTGCTGTCACCGCCATAAAGTTCCGATAGGGTATATAATTACTGCTGTCACCGCCATAGTGTTCCCAACACCAAATATAATTACTGCTGTCACCGCCATAGTGTTCCGATAGGGTATATAATTACTGCTGTCACCGCCATAGTGTTCCCAACATCAAATATAATTACTGCTGTCACCACCATAGTGTTCCGATAGGGTATATAATTACTGCTGTCATCGCCATAGTGTTCCCAACACGAAATATAATTACTGCTGTCACCGCCATAGTGTTCCCAAGTTTTTCACTATTTTGAGAGATTCATGAAAATTTAACGCTCACCGACAGTTTGAAACACTATATTGAAGTTGCTAATCAACTAAAAGATTCTTGCAATAATAATGATTTAATTTTTAATTGCAGGAAGCTATCCAAGCTCTTTATAATGCGTCCATATTGAATCCAGATCAGAATGTAATCGCGAAATATCAGCAATATTGTGACCGAGTTACGGAACTAAAAATGTTACGTAAGTTTAAGTTTATGTTTATATAAAGTTATATAAAGAACACCTGCCTATAGTGACCACCTCTATATAAAGAACACCTGCCTATAGTGTCCACCTCTATATAAAGAACACCTGCCTTTAGTGTCCACCTCTATATAAAGAATACCTGCCTATAGTGACCATCTCTATATAAAGAACACCTGCCTATAATGACCACCTCTATATAAAGAATACCTGCCTTTAGTGTCCACCTCTATATAAAGAACACCTGCCTATAGTGACCACCTCTATATAAAGAACACCTGCCTATAGTGACCACCTCTATATAAAGAATACCTGCCTATAGTGACCACCTCTATATAAAGAATACCTTCCTTTAGTGTCCACTTTCAGGCAGTACCAACGTATGAGCAACCTGTGTATAAAGACCATGTGACTGACGTGATCATCCTTTCAGCAATATTTTTTTAGATTTGTCTTTCTTTAGAGACCAAAATAATATGA